GTTAGTCAGAGCGTATCAGATTCTGAGGAATTATTTTTGGTTAAGCTTTTGTGAGAATGGATTTTCTAGAAAACTTACTGGATTTTGAACTCTGTGTGTGTGAAGTTGAATATTAAGAGGAAGGTTGTCACGTATGTGCTGCCACTGTGGACTGAACTCGGGAGCTGTGGAGTTCTGGACTTTACTGTTGATCACTAATGGCTCTTTTTCCATATACAAAACTTAGTAGTTTGGCCTTAACAGAAAAAAAACAAAGCCCTTTATCATATTGCAAAGTGGAATTGACTTTGCCATTTCCTGGTAGTCTCATTGCTGTGCTTTCCTGCCTGGTCAGTCAGGATAGGGCTGCCCCTCTCCTGCTGCTTTGCTGATGGCTTTGGGTTCTTCTCTGGGAACATTCTCTGTGGGAAAAGGGCTGTTCTGAACCTGACCTACATCCTCTCCTTACTACTGAAGACACTGAGCCTACATCTGGGACATCCCCAGCTGTTGCCACACAGCAGGTTACTCTAAAGCAGAGATGGATTCTGTGGACACTGGATAATTTGTGTATCAAGGGGGGGTGCAGACAGGGCTGGTTTTACTTTAACTCTTCTCTGGATGTAGTTGTTTCAGTGTTAGTGTGGGAGATCAGTAGAGGACAGGAATAAATCCAGGCTGGCTAGGGAAGAAGTCCATAACTTGTCGGCACAAGGAACCCAGCAGAGTATTAAATAGAAAGCATCTTCTTCCACACAGCAGTGAGAAGGTGGCAGCAGGAGTAAGGAATAAGTGACTGTGTTAAGTCTTTTGCCTGACTGTGAAAATACTTGAGTATCTGGTGTGTTGCCACATTTAATGGAGCATCAGCTGCACCGTATGTTTTTGCTTGGTCCTTCCTCTAGAATATTCTTTTCCTCTAAGGGTCTTTTAGATTTGGCAAGTCAGCAAGAATTTGTACCCTCTTCTCCCCCACCCCGCTGACCACATGTTCAGGACATTGTGAGCCTCTTCCCTCTGGGAACACTCCATTAGTTAAAAAGGTCAGTTGTGGGCTTGAATTCTGCTGAATTTGGAGTCCTGTGGTCAGAGCTGGGACAGGCCCTGTGGAAGTCACCAAAGGGCAGGTAAGGTCAGATGGCAGCGTTCCTCCAGACCTGAGTGACAGGTGGTGTGAATTAGAAAATGGAAGGGGTTTTTCCCCCCATCTTCAAGTCTATTGCAGTAATCCTACGCTGCAGGGTCTAACTACCCCGAAAGGTGGGATGCAACCTCTCTTTAGTGGATCTCTTGTAGCTGGCAGAGGGAAAGGCAGTAGCTCTATACTTACAAAAGGGCAACTTGCATTGCATATCCCCTTCCCAAAAGTGCCTCAATATCTGTCCTCGAGTGGCCTGTACCTTAACAAAATATCTACCTTAGACCCATTCTGTCTTCACTTTATCCTTAGCACACCCTAAAGCTGAGATGCTAAAACAGCAGCAGACGAGATCTACAAAGAAGTGGTAAATAGTTAATGACCTGCAGTGGGCAGGGTGCTCAGTAAGGAGCTGTCAAGGAAAAGGCTTTCAAGATAAGGTGCAACTTAAATTTCAGCTGTGCTTAATTCTAAGCTATGCTTAGTTGGGCATTGTGGCTGGGAGAGGGGCAAGGGCTTTCTTCAGCTGGCACTGCAGGAACAAGAGGCTGGGAGCAAAGACCAACTGTTACCCAAAAGCCCAAAGTGCAGACACAGAGCCACGTCCCTGCCCGTTGTAGCTGCCCTGCGTGGGGTGGAGCCTGGTGGACTCCTGCCTCCCGACTCCCTTCACCTTCATAAAATCCAGCTGTGGGGCTGGAGGTGGGGCAGCACGACAGTACTGAGCTACTCAGCTGGCCAACACAGGAATATTACTGGGCACAGAGAGAGAGGCAGCTTGAATACTTAAGGTTTTGGTTTTCACTGGGCTGGGCGGGTGCTGAGAGGGGTTCTCAGGGTGGTAATTCGGCTGCTGAAAACTACAGAAAATAACTTAATCTGAGATGCTAGGGCTGGCCCAACCAAACAATCTGGAGCCAAGAAAGCAGCACTTCTGCAGCCTTCTGTCCATTAAGATGTGAATCTTGGAGCAGCTGCTGCTCCAGGTACTCACCAGTCCAAATGGAAGCTCCTGGCACAGAGCCGGATGATGCAGCGGGAGCGTGGTCTCTGTTCAGTATCGCACCTGCTCTTGGACACCAGTTTAGATTCTGGCTGGAGGAGAAGTGCCTGTTGTGGTGGTGGTTGCAGTTGGTTGTTTCTTTCCTAACATGCCTTCTGGAGAGCAGGTTAGTACTAAGGAATCCATCCTTGCTGTTTGTGAGGGTTTGATTTGTCATCCTGGCTGGAAGCTGCGCTCAGGCATCTGCAGCTCGAGGGCCAGGTGAAAGCTGCAGTGCTGAGTGCTCTTAGACAGGATAAATTCTGCTGCCGGAATCCTGCTTCCTTCCTTTTCACACAGCGTTGATCACAGCCAGCCTAACACACTGGACTGGGTTTTTTAACTAATCAATGCTTTCTAAGGGTCACAAGCAAGGTTCTCAAGTTCGGTCTTTTTTCATTTTAATGACTGTAGTAGATAAAATAATCTGAGCTTTTAAACCTTCCTGGCATTTAATTTCAGCTACAATGATATGGCAGTACTAGGAAGGCCCCAGGAAGGTAGATCTTGCTATTTTGGCAGAAAAAACTAGAAGTGCTTCTGGCAGCATCGTGTCTCACTCCCTAAGCCAGAGCAAGCTCCTGTTACAGAATTTGAGAGTGTACTTATGAGGTTCCTTTGCTGTGAAATGGGGGGTGTGGGGTGGAGAGGTGAACACAGCCCAGCTGCAATGCCTGAGGGGCTTCAGAATGCCCAAGGCTGCAGGAGAATGTTTTATCCCAGGCTCTGTTTGTGTCTGCTCAGGTTGAAGCACAACAGGAGAAAGTGTTTCCCAGTGAAACATGGAGAGGTGAGGCACAATATCTCCTGTACCAAGTGAAGGCAGAAGCTGTGCATGATTTTAATTTGGCTTGGTCTGCTTAATTTCAGCATTAGGGAGGTTACAAGAACAGTATTGCTTTGACTCCATGTATGTACCTGTGCTCCAAACTGCAAGCTCTGTATTGCCATAACAAAAAAGGGGGGTGAGGGGGTGTTTATAAAACTTAAGCCACCACTACTTGACTCCAGCAGAGTGAGCTCTCGGGCCCAGAGGAGCAGGGAATTCAGTTTGTGTCTGACAGAGTGAACTCTCCTGCCCAGTTCTTGGCTGGGGAATGGCACCAGCTCAGAGGGGTCAGCTGCAGTGTAAAGTCCAGGGGAACCACGAACACATCATCGCCCAGATCCACTTCCTTAAGTTAAATAACTTATCACTTTTTTTCCTACTTAGAGCTGACCCTCTCTTGGTCTCTTGGGTAGGTGACTTGCTTCCTCCGAGCCAGAGGTCTATGGTCATGCTGTAGAAGTGGGGGAGCTCCTGTTGGCTTCCAGTGGAAGCTGCCTTTGATCTCCCTGCAGTATCTGCAGGGGAGGGAAGGAACACTATCAATGTGGACAGAACAAGCTGCAGAGGATGCATCTTACTGCTATACCTTTAGGGGGTCTGTCCCCATTTTTAACTTGCAGTATAAGCAGTATAAGCAGCTTATACTTGCAGTATAAGCTTTTATTCAAACTCAGACCAAAAGAATGCCACTTGATTTGTTAAGTAGCAAAGACTAATGGGACTTGATTTGTTAAGTAGCAAAGACTAATGGGACTGACTAAAGCTGCATGTTAGGGGATATCTTCTACTAGGCTTCTGCTGGGTGTAAGCAAATAGTGACAGACTTGCAGGGATTTCGGATTCTGTTCTCAAGAGGCCTGCCTGGGGGAAGAGACCCTGACTGGTCCTCAAGTCACCCATTATCCCAGGAACTCGTCATACTGTTCCTTCTAATATGCAAGTGCAGCCCTCTTGGGGAAAACTGTCTAAAGCTTCTTGTGCCATTTGGTTAATAAAAGTGTTTCCACCTTTAAAAGAAAGTTCTTTCCAGCTTCATTGTTCTACAGTCAGTTGAAGTGAAGGGGTATGTACATTTTTTCCCTCTGCTAATGGGACACTGCTGTAAGATCCATGCCCCCAGGTTGCACTTTAATAAATGGTACAGTTTTCAAGAACAATGTGTAGACTACTTCTTTGCTTCCCCCTCTCCCTGTTTTAGTGCAGGCACCAAAAGAAAAGATGCTTTTACTTACATAAAATTTGCTTATGCAAGGCACAAGGACAGGACCAGAGTGTCTCTACTGCCGCCAGCTGCATCGTAAGCCTTGGTAAATTAGAGGAATGCCACGAGTACTTGAAGAAAAAATTGACAGCACCAAAAAAATCCAGGTGGAAATTGAAATTCTTACGAGCCATAGTGCCACGAGAAATGACATTTTTATTTAAGAAAGCCCATAAAATATTTACAAACTTTCAAAACTCATGAGGCAGCTGGATCACAGGTGACGCGTTTGCCACCTCGTGTGTGTGTCAAACAACCTGAGTCCAAGTTTGTTGAACCTGAGATGTGATTACTAGATATATCACTTTTTCTCAAGCATATCCAGGTTGCATTATCAAAAAAACTCGCCCCCTGCCTACCCCTGCCTTTTTCTTTACAATTATTCCATCAGTTTTGTTTTTCAAACAAACACAGGTGGATGGTGATTGATACTGAAGTATCTTTACCTGGCCAAACACCCCTCTGTCCTTCAGGGCTCTGTTCTCTCTTGCTGCCAGCTCCCCATCAAGGTAGACCTGATTCCCACCCACCCCACAGATCACTTGTGATCTGTACTGATCAACCATCCATTTCACAGCCTGAGGCCTTCTGGGGAGCAGCTCAGCACGGCTCAGCTGCAAGAGCAGGGCTGGCAAGCAAATAACTAAAGCAAAATGCTGCAGCTGATTAAAAAAAAACACTGAGGGTGAAGGCCTTGCCCCCACTGGGCCTCTGAAGGTACAAGCCAGGGTCTGCACAAACTCTGCTATTGCTAAAAAAAAAAAAAAAAAGAACCTGAAAAAAATATCCTAAAATTATAAAGGGGAAGCACTTCTCCCTACAGGTACTGGCAGAGCTGTGCTAATCTACAAAAGCCTATCTATGGAGCTCTGCCATCCCTTTCACAGCTGTGGGAGATACTGAGACACGTCCACAGTATCTCAGAAGTTAAAAAGCAAACACCAAGAAAAGTTGTCTTCTAGAATCCGCGTTCTCCACGTGGAGGGCAGGAGAGCTCACTCACCCAGCTGGAGGGAGAGAAACAGAACGGGCATTAACAGCAGCAGAGCCACCCCCTGCGGCAATCCCTGAGCCCACCCTGCCCAGGAGCCCGGCAGCTCCCGGGGACCTCTGCGCGTCCCCAGTGCCGCGAACCGCGCCCCGACACTGCCACCTGCCGTGCTCGGCGGCTGCCATCACCCCCCTTCCCGTGCCAGCGGCAGGGAGTCATCCCAGGGGAACAGTGCGGGACAGGCCCCGGAGCCCGGCTCCAGCCCGCTCCTGATGGCACCTCCTGGGGTGGGTGGATAACCAGCAGCCCTCTGACTGCCCTTGCTGCTAGGAGCCAGCCGGGGCAGCAGGAAGGGCCTGTCCCACACGAGTGACCCATTTCTGGGATAACTCAGTGCTCTGGAGCCAAACTGAGTGAAGGGAAGGGCAGTGCCAAGTGACATTGCACAGTGACACCGTGCCCTGCTGCCTGGCAGGGAACAGGGTGCTGAGTCCTGGGACACAGGGTGAGCCCAGCCCCTCTGCAGGTGGCTGCCAGTGCTGCCCATGGCAAGGCTGCAGCACAGGGGTGTCCCACAGACCCGCAGCTCCCCACAGCTGCGTCACCACTGTGTCACAGAGTGGCAGGATCACAGCTCTGACCACTCAGACTCATTCTCAAGTACCGCCATGTCTCAGTACACGTGTGTGTCCTCTCCCCTTCCCAGACAGCTGAAGCCCCAGCCTCTACCCCACCTTGCCCATGAGCTGCACAGAATCCACCTATGCTGAAGCTCCAACAGTGAACAAGAGCGGATCTGACCATTTCTCATTGTTGCTCCCCTAGGGTTGTTTCTCAGGGGCAATTCCTTTCCCCTTCCAGTTCTGCCAAGCTCTGGGGAGCCAAGGAAGTCAAGAGCAGAGAGCTCAGGATCAAGACATTCAGGAAATACAGCCATCAGAGCTCAGGTCAGGCTTTTCTTCCCTGAGGGCACGACTAACCCCAGTCTTACTGGCACAGCTCCCTGAAGAGACTGCAGGGAGGAGAGGAGCAGTCGCAGCTCTCTGTTCCCTGGCTACTGTCAGAGGGGGGCAAGCAGAAGCTGTGACACCCCCTCAAGCACACCAATCTTTAGAGACTGACGTTCCCTCCTGACTTCCAGAGCACTTCAGGGAGCCCAGCAGACCACAGGCAGTTCAGAGCTAGGCCACCCCTCGGGGAATAACCCAGGCCAGCCAGGAGGGCAGCAGAGAGGCCGGCTGTGATTGACAGCACTCACCATTTCATCAATGTAGTTGTGGAACTGCTGATTCATGAAGTTCACAGTGATGGTGAAGGCACGGTTTAGAAGGGAGGGCACTGTATTCACAATTTTCTTAGCCAAGACCATTGCTAGCACCAACATGACCTTCTCCTGTTCCATGTCTGCGGGGATGGCTTGTGCAAGCTCTCTCACTACCCTTGACATGTGCCGCATTATCTCCTGTATGGAAGGAGAAGAGGGATCTCAGTGCAACAGCTGGGGGAGAAAGGGGTCTCAGCACAGCCTGCCAGGACTGCTGGTAACTGATGTGCTTCTTTCAGCATCCACAGGATGTCCCTCCCCTTCCTCCCAGGCAGGGCAGCCTGCCTGCTACGTACCCTGAATGACAGTAAGGATCGCTCTGAGCTCAGCTGCTCACCCAAGACAAAACGAAAGGGAGGCAGCACACCACCACTGGAAAATTTAGACAGCACCTTACACACTTAGGATGCAACAGCCCCCTCCTCCCCAGGGTTTGCACTGAGCCTGTCAAGTCCTGAAATGGTAAAGGAATTCTGGGGCTCCCAGGAAAGGACAACCCACCACAGCGTAGATCTGGGGTACAAGCTTCGGTGGGGACTGGAAAAAGGCAGAGGAAGTTTCACAGAAAAGCCTTCCCATAAGGAAGAGCTAGTGAAGGTGTCCAAGCCTTGCTCCCAAGGTCAGTGAAGATCAGTTTTCCCAAGACAGAACAATATGCACACACTAAGCTATATTACTAATGTGAAAAAGTGAGGTCAGCAATTAGGTTTATATCTCAGTCTTATCAAAGACTAAAAGGTTAGGCAATAAATTTGAAGATCTGAAATGTAACTGGGTGGAGAGCAAGGGAGCGGGAGTGAGGAATGGTCAGACTTTGCTGGAATCTGTGTAGTGATAAACCCTAGTAGAAAAACCCCACATCACACAAAAACCAACCAACCAAAAGGATTGGTTAAAGTTATTAAATCCTGCCTTTTGGCAAGAAGGTGGGTCCTCAATTCTACAAGCATCAGCTTACAGAGCATAGAAAACTTCATCACAGACAGAGAAAGCCAAACAAGCCAGAAAGCCACAGTTACCTTGAAGATGCCAAGAAGGCTCTGTGGCAGCAAACTATGGCCCTTGATCCAGATGTGGATCTAATCCTTAGACATCTTTCTTTTTCCTTTTTAACACAAGAGACTTCCAACTCTATTTCCCTTGCAGAGCAGCAAGGCATGTTAGATGCTGGGCCAACTGCCTCAAAGAGGAAGAGGCCACCTGGAGAGGCCACCCCAGCAGGTCACCCATCCAGGCCAAAACCCACTGCTACTCCCAGCACGAGCCTATGAACACAGTTATGGCACTAAAAAAGGGTCTCATGACTTGCTGTCTCTTCAGTGTTCAGCAACAAGCACAAGTCAAGCTTCTGGCACTAACCTGCTCGTTTTACCCACATGACAATCAGCAGGCACACAGGATTTGGCACCAAAGTCCAAAGATCTTAAGGACAAATACTAAACCTTAACCAGACAGGTAATTTTCAAAGGTAAGTCACTGGGCCAACAGAACAAGGACAAAATGCCTCTGAAAGTCAGTCCTTTTCCACAACTACCCACAGCTGTAATTACAGCATCTGCAGAAAGGAGATGAGCCCAAGGAACCAAATTTACACAGTAACTTCTGCCACAGGCTACAGAATCACCTCTAACAAATCTCCAAATGTAAGTGTTTGGGTTGAATTTTAAGATGGCAAGAATTAAATCAGCAAAATAGCAAAGATACAAGAAGTCGCAAGTTTGCTGTTTTCAAAGTCACAGCAGGAAGGACGCACAACATTCAAAAGGGGAACTGCTAGCCAGGTTGCTTTTCACTCACCTCAGTGGAGAGATTCTCATTCAGAAAGTGCTGCACTAGATCATTTACTACATTTCCTTGGACATCTTTGTCAAGCTTGTCTCCAATCTCAGCGAGCTGAGCAGCGATGATCCCGATAACGTCTTCGTTTGCTGGAGCGTCAGCCTCTGCCAACACGGAGCAGGATTTAGTCCACAGGCTGCAGCCAGACCAGGTTCAGTGCAGGTAAGCTGACCCACAGCATTTTGCTCATCTCCATTAGCAACCACCTTCTCATAGTGTATTCATGACAGCTCTAAACACAACTCCTTTAGGTGAACCCGAGTTGCTTCACAGAGACAGTGCGCAAACAGGTTTTTTTATCTATGGTTTAGATAAAGTGCAGCCCAAAAAAATCACTACAGGGCATATTAGAACATCTCCAGACAAAATCTCAACAGAACAGCAACAGCTACATCCTCTCCAGAGAGGGGAATTGAGAAACTGTGCATGACCTTAAAAGTCTTTTCCACCCTAAATGATTCTAGGATTTATTGAAGTGACTGTTGTCACAACTTGTCTCTGAAGCACCATCTAAAACACAGCATCTCATAGAACAGTTTGAGTTGGGAGGGACCTTGAAAGGCCATCTCATCCCAACCCCCTGAAATGAGCAGGGACATCTTCAACAAGACTGGGTTCCTCAGAGCCCCAGCCTTGAATGTTTCCAGGGATGGGGCATCCACCACTGCCAGTGGGCAGCCTGTGCCAGTGTTTCACCACCCTCATTGTAATAATCTTCCTTACACCTAGTGTGAATCTGCCCTCTTTCAGTTTAAAACCATTACACCTTGTTCAATCTCCTTCAGGCAAAGCTTCCTGCAGCCACTCTTGGCACGAGACCTACACAAATTTTTACAAGGGGGGGCTATTTACTGCAGCATTTCCTCCTCACCCAGGCTGAGGTAAATGTGCCAGCTGGCACACCCTGGGCAAGGGGCAGTAGCCACCCTGCAGATGGCTAGTGAAGCAGGAAAAGGACCAGAAACCTTTTGAGTGAGGAACAGTTTCCACCACAGTGGTGGAGCAGAAAGGGATTCACCCAGTACCAGAACACGACTTGTTCCAAGATCCTAGCCCCAGTACTGACACTGCCTGAGGAGCAGCACGAGGCCCAGCTTAACTGCTTTAATATCACACTCCTTGAGGGCAGCTATCATGAGAACCAGCTCTGTGCCCTTGTCCTGTGTGCTGCAGACAAAACCCCGGGGTTACGGGTGCTCTAGAAATCCATGGACAGATAAAAGTCTGTCTTATCCCCAAGTGTTAAACTCCCAACCGACAGCCACGCTGTGAAGTTTCTCAGTGGAGAAAACACTACCCCTCTGAAAAAGCCAAGACAGGAAAGGGGGAAAGAAAAACACCTTGTTCAGACAGACATTTGGGATGGAGGAATGCACACTCACCCAGCTCGCCGTTCTGCAGGTGGCCGCTCCGATTGCCGTCACACTGGAGTTCAGACTCATCATCAAAGCCCGGTCCTTGGAGACGAGGCACAAGACCCCCCCCTAGTTTACGCACAATCCTCCCTTGGTAACCATCAATCCCCCCTTGGCGACGAGGCACAACCGCCCCTTGGTCAGACGAAGGCGTCAGGGACCACAGCTGCTCTTTGAACTTGCAGTCAGAGGATGCCTCCAGGAAGGCGTACAGCAGGGCATCCTCCATCTGGAGAGATCCATTGATTGTAAATGTTAGGAAATCACTGTTAAGCCCGTGTCCCACTCAAAAGCTCTGCACATACGCTGTTTTCCAACCCTGAGCACGTCTCTGTGGCCTCCTTTGGGCATCCCGAGTAGCATTAGCAAGATTTCAGCAAATGCATGCTAACTCCTGGGTGTGTACCCACACTGAACTGTACCATGGTGAATGGCAGATGGCTCTGCTCTTACCAACTGGTGGTGGAACAGCCAGCTCACCTTCTCCTCACACTCCCAGCTGTGGCAGTGACAGCAACCCTGATCTGAGCTCCTCCTCTGAAACACAAGTGTATGCAGCAAAAACCATCCACTTCCCCCACTCAGACATCTCTGTTTGGAAGGATTTATACCCCTGTGTTTGGGCACTGGGCATTGTACTTCCTGTGCATAAAGAAGGCACTTCAATATAATCAGAGCATAGCAGTAACAAGGTGGGAAACGGAGATAGCAGAGAGCATAAGCCTGCAAAAAACCCCAAGGTTCACATTTCTTCTCCCCCTTCAAAGGAATCTCAACTAGCTCCATAACAAACCTGTTCAGCTCCTCGTGCAGAGCCAAGCAGCTGCTCACAAGTATGCAGACTGTCTGCCTGTAAGAAAATACTTAGGCCTAACTTCATCTAGGGAGAAGAAAAATGGTTAAAGAAGGATGGCTTGCTATGCCAACTGCACAAGGTGATCTGTGTGCAACCAGGATGAACTTGATAATTGATAGGGAGTTTTGGGGAGTGGAATCTTGCAAGGCCATCTATGTAACCCTATCAGTAATACCATACAGGACCCATGGTGCCTGGGCAGCAGTAGCACAACTGGGAAAAATGCACAGAGAGTAATTAAGGATGGGTTGTTTACCTGGGAGGAGAAAAGGAGGAACAAAGTCAACAAAAAGCAGAGTTCAGAAATGGAAGCAAATGGAAATTAAGGTATATGATCAGTCAAAGATGAACAGAAGGCACATCTTCCATGATCTGAGCATGATGTTTTTACTTTAGTGAAGTTCCCCTGGTGACAGAAGCTCTCTGGGACACCCTCCAACAGTCCCCTTCAACAACCCACTGGACTAGTCATCAGCTTTATCTCAGATAAACTTTCTATCACATTATGTTTAAAAGGCTTGTGGGAGGGCAGAGCAGAGGGTTAGAATTGTATCCTAACACAAGCTGGGGTGAGGGAAGATGACAGACATTTCAGTAACAGTTCAATGCAGTTAATCAGATTTAAGAGTGAAAAACAGCACCTTCATAATTGTGTTTAAGGTTGCACAAAACAATGCAATAAATTGATCACAGTGCTGTGCCTATTAATTTGATTTATTAGTTTTAGCAGTTTGTAGCATTATCAATAAACATTGTAGTCTCTTACATAGCTACATCTCCAGCCTGCAGTTTCAAGGGGGAGTGCCACAGAGAGATAACAAGGAAGCAGCTTGCAAACTACACAGTTCCATCCACTCCTCTGTGTTCAGAGCAGTGTCAGGGCCCCTGCAGGAACTCTGAGAAACATGAGAAGGACATGAGCCAACACTAGTGCACAAGAGAACCACTGGTCACTGCAAACAGCTGACTTCAGCCATGCTTGACTCTAACCTGTTGCATGATTGATTGAGAGACAGAGCAGCTCTTGTCACCCTCTGCTTTGGACCAGAACTCCTTGTCCTACAAAAGAGTAAGAAGAGTGTGAAAGAAAAAAAAAATAATTCCATAAATCCACATCTTGCAGCAGTGCTCGTGTTTATGGCCATGTCTCGCAGAAAATGACCTTTTTAGTGATGCATATCCATATTTTGGAGAGCTGGCAGTCATGAAAAAGGGCTGAGAAATCCACGGCTGCCTCAGTGAGAAGGGCATATGTGAATGTGAGTAAGGGGCATGAAACTCCTTCCTGCCACAGACATGTGCCAGGCACTGGAGTGACATAACCTACGAGTGGGGCTTTAAAGCCAAGGTGGTGCTGGGGAGGAGAGGGACAACCCTCACACAGTGCCAGAGGCTGGAATGGAGAACAGTGTTACCAGAGAGGAATTTGAGCACCTACTGAGAGCAGGTGAGCTGCTTGGCTCTGTGTGCACGGCAGCACAGTCTGAAGTGAAACACCCAGCTGACACCACTGCACACCTGCAGGACCTCAAGTGTGTCCCCCACTGCCCCCGTGCCAGAGATACATGTGGATACTCAGGCTCATTTCAGTACTTCCCACCAAATGCCAAAAATGGAGGGAAAGCACTAAGGAGCCCAGCCAGATGGCCTGCTAACCTGGGCTAGTGATGAATGATCCTGTTTCACAGTAATAACCCCTTGTAATTGTGTTTTAAATAACCAAGTGTGCTGGTGGAGAAGAAGGAGGAAGTGAAAGCAGAAATTAATTCAACCTCTGAAGGAAACCACAGTAATATTACAAGAGACCTGCCCAACTTTTTAAAGGCTCTTAAAAGTCCAAGGGCAAAACACAATCTCAAGTACATTTAAAACACACAATAGCCCACAGCCACTCTATTAACCATGAACCCTTCTTTTCAGATTTGTTATGTCAGACTAATGGCTAAAACACAGGCTTAAGCCTTTGCTGCTTTGTATTTCCCTCTGTTCCATTCAAACCCCCATTGCTGCTACTCACCTCTACCCTAAACAGTGCTGGCTGGGGAGAGTGCAGTCCCCTCTGTCCTCTTCTCTGGAACCTGACAGAGTTCTGAAACAGGTCAGAAGTGACCCTTCTCCTGGGCTTGACTTTGCTGGAGGAGAGACAGATGTTAATTCAGGTTAGAGAACTGGAAACAGAACTCTGGGATGAAGAGGAAAGTGGGGATTTAGCACTAAGTCTGTGACAGGACTTTGGCTTTGTGCAAACTCCTCAGGAGTTATCCACACCAACAATATTTCTGTAGGTTAGGTAAAGCCTCAGCTTGCACATATTCTGGTTTTATAGATAACATTTATTGTCAGTTCGAAGTAATTCAGACCAAAACCAAGGTGTTCGTGTTACAACTGGCAAACAGTGGATATCCTCTGCTATTAACTCCTCTTGAGTTAAACACTACTTCCTGAAGCATCACGGCTTAGACCACAGGAAGCCTGAAGTAGTACCAAGCCTGCTCTGCCCACATCCCATTTGCTTGGAAAACCCCATTCATCCCAGCAATATCAGCACTGCCATCCCCACCCAGCTGTAGCCTGTGCCAAAAGCTTCATGTGGCACCACAGCAGGACTCCACAGCTCATCAGACAAACCCATGCTCCCATGCTGGCTAATTTGGGCTGGGAGCAGCCAGCTGACTTTATAACACAGATACAAACTGAACAGAGCTGCCCATCTTTCAAGGTGCGAGAAGCTGCACCACCCTCTGATCACACCACCCTCCGTCGTGGAGGGGCAGATGTTCTCCCAGGCTTCTGGCAGAAGTGATGCAACACAAGCCACTCCAGCTGCAAGCTGCACACAAGTGGCCAGATGTGCTGGTGAGGCTGCCTGACTGACCAGCACCGATGAGATTCTTTACTCACCAAAGCCCTACAGCCAGAGCTCTTCCCGCCAAACGCAGCCCAACAGTGCTGGGGTGACCTACTTTTTCCTCATTGTTGAGAATTCCTGTAAATTGCTGGAGGGAGAGCTGAGCATTGACAGATGGTGATAAATAGACTAAATAAAATGTCATCCTATAGAGGGACCAATGTAATCTTTTCTTACAGCAAGAGGATGGAATAGAAAGCGAAGTCAAGACGCTTCCTTGGGGGTTTGCCACATGACACATATTTCCCAGGCAAGCTCAGAATGTGGCTTTAAACCCCAAATCCCCTACATTTTTTGTCACACTGTTTCATACTGGCAGGAAACTCATTTGGTTCAGTCTGAACACTCATGGTAAGAGACCACCAAAAAGAGACACACTTTTGTCTCTTTAGAAGAAGAGGCACAGACCGCTCCAGCCTGGGAAGGAAAAGCAGCACACTGCTCCATTCCCAAAGCAGAAAATACAGGTCAAGCAAAACAGCAGAGGTTTATTCTGGGCATGCCCACAAAGCCAGGCCCAGAAAGGCAGGGAACAGCAGCTTGGCATGAGCCTCTGCACCATCCACACCAGCTTACTTTACTGATAAGAAGCTGCGAGAGGAGCTCAAGCCCGGGCATGTTCCACACATCAGTTCCTGGAAGTGTGCAGGAAAGGTGCCTGTCTGTCTCTACAGACTCAAATACTGTGTTTTGAAAGCACTTATGATTTTCAGAAAGAGGCAGATGCTCACATGCTGCTTAGAGCAAAAAAGTCCTCCCCGGGTGCTGGGTGCCCTGCACAGGTAGAACACCTTGACAAGACCTCAGTGCAGGGAGGAGAGACCTACAACGTGTGTGGTTCTTCCCTCCCCTCAGGGATCATCTCAGCTCTGGGCAAAGTCCACAGAAATAGAGACATTAAAAAAAAGTCACCCATAGTAGTTGCAAACTGGAGTTTTGTCCTCTCCTGCACATGAGCAGAGGTGAAACAAAAAAAAAGAACAATGAAAAATGCCACCACACTCCAAAGTGCTTATATGGCAAAAAAATGAGACAAGGAAGCTTGAATATGGTAATTTCATGAACCGAATTTCCTAAATCAAAGACTGACCACCCAGGCAGTCAAAGCCCCTGAAGGGTTCCTGCCCTGGGCTAGCAAAGTTCTGCTTGGGTGGCCAGAGAGGAGGAAAAAGGATTTCTCCCACACCACAAAACGGCTTCCTATTACTGCAATCCAGGGTCAATTATTTTTTATTTAATTAACTAGTAATTCCACAAGCCTCAAGTTTTACATAATTACTTTGAATCAATGCAAAGGGCTTGGATAGTCTCAAAAGTTCCTCCTGAGAAGTCAAATTCCTTAATGGAATCTCAAAAAAAACAAACCTCCTCATGGACCCCTAAAGAGCAAACGCCAAAGAGTCAAATGCAATCATGTTGATGCCACCTGAAGATTTTAATCATTAAGACTTTGGAACCCTGGTAGTTTTAGATCCAGCCTAAGACCATTTCTGGTGGATGGAAAAAGGTTTCCTTATACTGGGTAAAAGGAATCTTTAGTTGAAGAATGAGAAAAGATGGATAAAGGCTACAAACCCCATCTGCATTCACATTCAGAATAAAACTAGATCATTTTCTGTGGCTGCTTTAGGGTTGGAAATGAATTTTTACAAAAATGTAATTGAAATACCAATTAATTTTAATACATTATTCATTTTCACACTTTCAATTCACTCATTAGACAAATGAGCTTTATGTGTTAACAGCTGCCTCTGAGAAACCACTAGATGCCTCGAATAGATTCAACAGATAAGATTACAACCAGTTTTTTGGACCAGTTCTTTATATCTTACTTAGAAAAAAAAACAAAGGGGGTACTCCAAACACAAGTTTAGGACCCTTAAATCAGTTCTACAGAGTCAGTGTAGGGATGTTCATTCCAATTCAACATTGTGTTGGGATGTAAGACACTAGAGAGGCATTTGTGAATTAAATATAATTATAGTCAGAGAAGCACATCCACCAGCCACTTGTCAGCACAGAAGGACCAACCTCCTTCCACCCACACACATGCCAGTTTTCACAAGTGAATCCCATGGATGCTTCCCACAAATCAAGTCTCCAAGGCTTCCCCAAGGCTACCATGACTCTTTAGATGGGGCTGAGTACACCCTCAGTACATACTGCCCTCCAACAACACAGGTCGTTTGGGTCTGGTGTCCCACCTTCTGTTTCTCCCTCTCATCCCCAAATTATCCTTATATCACCCTTTAAATCTCACAAGGAACTCAGCAGAGCAACTGTTCCCATCTGCAGCCCACCAGTGAGGGGTGACAAGAGTCAGCAGGACCAGAAGCCCCTGACTCCAGGCTTTAAGGAGAGACAGAACTGCAATTTTGCAGGGCAGAGGAAAGGGAGAGGCAGGACTGCAAGACAATTTCCTCTCTTCCACACCTGCATCTTCTCCTACATCATGCAGTGAGGGCTAAGCCCTGCTACGTCTTCAAGACAGCTCAGAAAAGAATCCACCCCACAAATAATGTCTCTGCTTGCCATCACTTCCCCTCGGACCCTTGGCCTCTCCTCACAGCTCAGCCTGTGAGTGACTATTCTCAGCTGTATCAGACACTGTCTGGTTATGAAAACATTCTCTCTCCTGCGGGAAAGCCACACGCCTGTAGGACTGTCTCCTTTAACAACTTGTCTGGATTCCAAGACACCTCCCTTACAAACACCTGGACAGTCACACTATCAGTCAAAGGATCAATTGTGTGAGTTTGTCAAGATACTTATCTTTGTGTCTCTAGTTAGAGTTAGGAGTGAATTAAAGTCTTTGAAGCAGAAACTGCAAAAAACCATCAGTCACTGAGGAGTCAAAAACTTCCATACTGTGTACTGGTTTCCCTGCCTGGCAGCTGAAAGATAAGAACTGTGGTTTTAGCAGTCAGGATGACATCATTGTTAGAAGAAATGGAACAGTGCCTGTTTGTCCCTTCCTGGAGCTGGTGGCTCTTACCTGTCTTGTAGGCAAATATTTCATTGCTGAGCTACAGAGCAAGGCATCATTTTACAGGCAGGGAAATGGAGTACTTGATATGTCCTGACATTTTAAACCCACACACCAAGCCATAACCACTCAATTTCACTGTCTTCAAGAAAACTTGCCACAGGCACAACTACTTTACTTAACGAGCTATTCCTGGAAAATAAGGAAGAGAAACAGCATCACGGACACATGAAGTTCCTTATTTGAGGATATTCCAAGCTGTGCCACTGTTGTCCGTAGCACCAAAGGAATCCCTATCACGCTGCAGTGCTCAATTTCTAGCCCATAAACCCACCAAGAACTAAACAGCCCAACTACCAGATAACCATAGCTTTTCCTCATATTTCCCTAGCTATGGAAGAAGCCAGATTACTCCCACGGTTGCTGCACACACACTTCAGACCTTGCAAGGAGAGAGAGAGAGAGAGAGAGAGAGAGAGAGACAGAACCAACAACAAAAGGGAAGATATTTTGGTGGTGTGCAAAACAGTGCTGAGATTAATAAATAGGGTGTTATGATAACCACAGAAAACCTGCTCCTTTCACTACTTACCCTGCAGGATATGCCACCCTGTAACAGTGCTGAGACCCACTGCATTCCTAAAGCTGAATTTGCTTCTAGGCTTTGGAAAGAAGCAGGGTGGTAGGGGAACAGAGACATTGCAGTGTATTAGCCAGGTGAAGGATGGGCAGAACAGGACCCTCTGGACATCTATGGATGCACATACACATGCTGCTGTGAAACCAAAGGGATGGTTTGGTGCCACCTGGTTAATACCAGAGCTGTTGGCTTGGAGGGTCTTAGGACTTTCTCCACCATAGGTAACACTGCCTCCAAACTAGAGGTATTTTCTGTCCATTTGCTTCCGAGGGAGGATACAACATCAACAGCTTATTTTGGAAGCGGTAAAAGTGACAAGCCATGAGCAGAATACTTGGAGATGCCAGGAGCTCATGGGCCAGAGGAGGACAGACCCCATCCCTCAGTCACTTGCAATTTGTTTGCTAGGCTCTCAGGAGATACCCTGTTTGTCAGGAATCACAAGAGTTGGGCTGGTTCCAACAGGATGAGGTTCAACAAGGCCAAGTGCCGGGTCCTGCACTTTGGCCACAACAACCCCCTGCAGCGCTACAGGCTGGGCACAGAGTGGCTGGAGAGCAGCCAGGCAGAAAGGGACCTGGGAGTGCTGATTGACAGG